AACATGTCAAAGTGCCTATACCCTCTCACAGTGCAAAAGTTTTTTTCCCCCCTTTTTTAAAAAAAAAAAAAAAAAAAAAAGTAAACAAAACACTACCTGATAGAGGGTATAAAAGGATTTTTCAAATGCAGTGGCATTTGTCCGCCTCGGGATCTGGTTAGACCATAGTACTAAGGCAATACAAGAAATTACTCCACATCCCCTAAGCCATGTGATTACTTGTAATCTGCCCTGAGTATAAGGCAGTGACTGAACCCTTTTCCAGAGAAAGGGGTTTCTCTTACTTCAAGCATGGAAAGGCCAGCAACAGGCACTGTGACAGCTATGACTGTTCCGCTAATAGAAGCCAATAGAAGAACACCAGATTCCACTTGGAACTTGACATTTATTGCAATCCCCAGCTACTGCAGGAAACAACTAACACTGCCCACTTAATTCCAGGAAAGTCCAGCTACTGCCTCTTCTTAAGATCCCGAAGCATGGTTCTAAATACCTGCTAAGCACATAATGGGGTACGCACTCACGAGCGAACCCAGGGGTTACTCTTGGTGAGCTAAGCATATGATTTAGCGTTTAGTTCGATATGATATTTGCAGATTAGGCTATTTTTCACCCAGGAGTTAAGTATGCTACAGTATCTTGAAGAGATGAAAAGGGCCAATTCATTTTCTAGAAGTTAAAAAAGCTGCTTGCTGTTTCGGCAATGGATTCAGTCCTCTGACCCAACTCAGATAATAAAACTGGACACACACATGCTTGTTTGACAATAACCTGCAGCAGATCGTCTTCAAGAACTGTACTTCAGGACCTTTGAATGTTAGATGTCCATATTACATCTACAGACAGTGAAAATCATGTTATCCTCCTGTAACCCTCTGTGTTACCATCAGTAATGTCACTAATACTTGTGGATAACCTCCAAACACTTGAAGTATTCGTGTTCCAAGGCTTTACAGTTGTCACTGACAAAGTACCTAAAGAGTTCAGGCTTTACCTTTTTTACACTGAGGCCAAGTTCATTTTTGAAGAAACCCAATCTGTTATCCAGTCTTTCCACTGAAAACAACAGCAAATATGGAGCTCTTGAGACCATCTGAGCAATTTCTGCCTTACCAAATTTTTTTGATTTTAGGTAAGCCACTCTAGAAAGAGAACAAAAACAAAATAAAATCCAGTGATGAAAATTTTATTGCCTCCATTTATTCAGTACTTGCTTAAATTCCTCAGTGATATCTTATAAACGGACAGATGTTCTAGCATTAACATGCAACCCTGCCAAAAATAATTAGGGGGAAATGTGCAGTTATCATAAAAGCAAAATACCATCCCTTCCAATTAATTAGAAGTAAAATAAACCTCAGAGCAGAATGTCAATACTGAAGACAGATTTTAATTCCTTCCAGCTGTACTTAAGCAGATAACTATGTTAACCTACATTTAACTACCAGCCTGTCTCCCAGATTGCAAACACATTAATAGATCATCATAGGGTATGGACAAGAAGATATATACAGCCTTTTGCTATTTTAATGAATTCCATTTCTACTGCTGAAAGAACAGAGTACTATAGCTCATACATCCCTGTTTTGCCAATAGCACTGGAGTAGAAATATCATACAACAATGCTATCTGTAAAGACATTGTCCAAAAAGACATTTCTAAATCAGCTGAAGTTACTTTTGTTACAATAGGTCCCTACTTTCAGTCACTGGTCCAAGGATTTAGTTACAAAACATCTGGTTGTCAGAAAGGGGAAGGAGCTGACTAAAGTTTTTATGTTTAACAGAGTTTGCTTTCTTTCCAACTCAAAACTTTTTCCAAACTTTGTTGAATTCAGTGAAAGTGAAATCCTGTTTCAAGTACTACTTGCAGTAGATTATTACCATAGCTCCCAGAAAAAGGAAAGGAGGGGAAATACAGCACACAAAATAAAGAGAGACATGATTAACCCACGTGCCACCGTTTACAAAAAAACTGAACTACAATTTGAACTTTGGTTACAGATAAGCATACACAGAAGTACTTGCTGTCAGATGAACTTGGAGCATACAAGAACTGAATTTATCTGGCAGTAATTAAGATACTAAACAGACTGCAGAATATTCTGCAGAAGCAGATATTCTGCAAAAGATGGGCTGTGTGTTAAATTGTGTCTTGTGGGGAGAAAAAATAAAGACACCTTCCAGTCACTACAACCTCCCTCTCTTTCCACAAACCCTAAAAAATGAAGTCAGCACAAGCCAAAAACCTCTAGACAGAAGATCTAAGAACAGGCTCTAGAGGACCATTCTCTAACTGAGCAGGCACACCAACCCAGAAGGTAGCAGCCTAGGCTCCAGACAACGCTGATGGAACCGCAGGAGCCTCAGAGACAAGGAGAGGTTAGGAGGGGGAGAAATGCAGAACACAACAATAAACAATTGACCCTTCAAAAATTATCCCATTATGTTTTGAATGCTGCAGCTTGGCTATACTATACTTCTTCCATTCAGTTTGTCAAGGGCACGACTGCCAAGCATCCTAGAAACATACCTAAAATAGCAGATTAAAAATAAAACCTTTTGGTTGTCCTGACTCCCCCCCACTTGGTTTTCTGTTAACAAGTCATTAAGATTCACACCTGAAGCATTTCTTCGCATCCTGGAAAGGCAAGAAGCTTAAAAGAGGTATGGCAAGATTGTAATAACCCGACTCTAGAAATTGATGTATTAAAGAAGCACAATCATCCAAGCTGACCAAAGTCTGAGATAACTTTGTGAGTGTTGGCACCAAGGTTAACCCTCGTTCTACTACAGGGGTCAGCAGTTCTATGTAGCGTGTTAACAGTTTTAAGTCATCATTAACAACACCGTAAAACAAAGCATCTGGTGCAGCTGCAGTACAGACACTGATTTGCAACTGTCAGAATTGTTATGAATTATGGAATGTTTTGACTTTTACAGTGTTTATCTGAAGTCAAATGCCAAATCTATTGAAATTTGTGTTTTGTTTCCTGGCAACGTGGAATCCATAGCAATAAAACATTCCAGAGTGATGTAACCAATACCATGTCCATCTGCACCGAAGTGTTTATGCAAAGGTGATACTCAGCTTTCAAAAGACAGCTATCTGAGACACATTCACTTCACAGCCTGCCATACACCCTCCGCAGCACACTTACTTTAAAGCTTGCAGGAAAGCATTCACCAGTGCCAGAGATAAACTTACTGAAAAAATCAAGCTGCAGAAAATTAAGAAATTGGATTGCCCTGTTCAGCCCCTACTTTACTAACCAGGCAGTGCCACAGGGCAGTCACTGAAAAGCAAATCTGACTTCACAGGAAAGTCAGAATGCTTATCATAGCAAAAAATACTCTCTTCAGAGGAGTGTAAGCAACTCTGCCATCTAGACTCAAAACTACTGCTGAAAAATGACACAGGTTCTTTTTGGATGTTGTTTCTGAAAGGCCACTTACTGAACAGGAGGATGGAAGAACCAAGGAGAAAGAAGAAAAGTCAGGTCTATGTTAGACATGAGTCTACTAATGTGCCTGTTTCCAAAAAGACATATTTTCAGATTTCTGTCTTGGACAGCTACTACATGCAAGAGCCAAGCAAAAAGACTTTCTTTTCTGGAATTTTTAAAGACCAAGATGTTTTGAGATCATTACAAAGTGCACACACACAAGTTGTTTGGTAAAAGAACTGCTGAATTAATGCAAGCCTGTCTGGGGTAATTTTAAGAACAAAAGTCCATTTTCCTGCCATTTTTTCTGTAATCAACACACCTAATGCAAGTATGAATCAGAAGAAGAAAGTAATTCCATTTCAGAATCAAACTTCTTATAGGTAGACACCAAATACAGCTGAGTAAAGAAAGCTAGGATCTCTATAACTACAAGACACAGATAAGTTTTTAAAAAAAAAAAAGTACAACCCCATAGTCTGGTGCTGGTACCTTAAGTCTCTCACGTCTTAATGGGATCCCACCTGCAAAAACCTGGAAAGATGTACTAAAGCAAAGGAATACAGAGAAGCTCTTTGTATCCATAAACC